AATTTGTAAAGAGCGCGTCAGTCAGCGCGGGCTTTGCTGTTTACGGTCGCTGGACTCGCTGCTCGGGATGGAGATGAAGATCGCCGAATAAAGACTGTTCCTCGCAGTCGTATGGATTCAGAAGATTTGGATTACAGCACACTAATAAAATTGTTTCATTTCGTAATTATGTTGTGTTTTTGGCGTATTTTATAGTTCCATTGTCAGTCACAGCATGTCGGAGAAAACGCCTTTTGTGGCCCATGACAATCAAAGTAAACATTACATGACAAGTAACGGTTAAACGATTGCAGAAATGTTATTTATTTTAAGGTTTAAAGTGAAGTCGTGTTTAACATTATGTAGGCATATTCTTGGAAACCAGCTGGCAGCAGAAATCACACAACAAAACGAAATGTTATCATTTCATAAGCAAATGACTAACGTTAAACAATTTAATAATGCAATTGAAAACAAGGTAATTCATATGACAACTAAAAACTAATAAAATTAATTCTGCGATTTCAATATTCATAAGAATTCATTTTTAGGTGTCAATACGTCAGTTTTGTACGTTTAAATTCTGAAAATACGTAAGTTTATGTACGTTTAGATGCAGAAAATACGTCAGTATTGTACGTTTTAGTGCCTGTAAAAACGTAAGTAAATGTACGTTTTATAGAACCACATTTTACGTAAAATACATACGAATTATCATGAGATCACGTTGTCCTAACAGACTTGAAAATGTGTATGCGGCAACATTTCTTCAAAATAATGTTGTTTCTTTTTGAATGTTTCATGAAACTTTTAAAGTGAAGTGTCTAATGAATGTTGCTCAAATTGTCAAAAGTTTTATCCAAAATAAACATATAAACAGATAAATAAACAAAATAAACAGATAAACATGAATCTAGCAAAGTTTTATTATGTTGGTTTTGTACATATCAATGCAGCTCAGAAATGAAATGTCTGGTAATTGGCACTAAAAATGTAATGCTCTATCACTTTTGAAAATAACGTACCACCTACACTAAGTCTTACCCTAAACCTGACTGGACAGTGTTAACATATTGGATAAAAGTATATTTGCTGAAGCGACCATGCCACTTCTACGAGTCTTTGAGCTCTTTTATCATGACTTGTGTTTTAATGGACTCTCACCCGATTGCTCCAAAATGCAAGTGCTTTACCAGGTGAGCAACTGAGCAAGTTTACTATGCCAGAAAACCATATGGAGCTGATTTTGAGATGGAAATGTCAAATTAGTTCATGCATCATGCACTATCATGCACATGGTAAATGTGTTATGATGTCAAAAGATATATTGTGCAAGGAACCACGCAAAATAAATCTTAATTAATTGACAGTCTTCCAGTGTAATCATAATTTGTGAGAAAAAGAATAAAAGTTGTTGCCACTAGTGCTCATTTCAGCTGGAAACTGCAATGAATTGTACGTATAGGCACATTTTTCATATGATGCTATGTTGCTTATAATATGGTGCTACTTTTTTTAGTTAATTCATCATTACAAGAACTTTTAGATATTTTACATCGATAATTGGACAAAAAGTCTGAAGAACACAATTTTTTGCAGTAAAGGTTGTGTAGAGCTTCTTGTGCATGTGTGGCAATGCAAGTCACACCTACCAATGCGTTAAATAAATGCAGAGGTTATTGAGCTGCATGGGTCCCTGGCATGCATAGATAGCAGAGTAACATTGAGGAATTTCATCTTTTAATACTGTGACAGGGGACATAAATCTACATCACAAGAGCTGCGGAGAGAAAGAGAGTGTGTGTATTTGAGAGACAAGAGGGAGGGGATGAAAGATGCTCAGATGACAGTGTTGTGTGATTTGCCTCAGACCTTGCAGCAATTTTGTACCTTCAGCAAACTGTTCCTCCTAACAGCCTCATTGAGTGGAATTCCAATTTCTTGCAGCACTTTGAGATCAAGTATCTTGTAGAAAATTTCCCAGCTATGGAAGGAGAATTATGCCCCCAAGTGTAGTTTAAATAAAACGAATGGCTCACTGCAGAGATAAGTCATAAAAATTACATTAAGCATACAAAACCCAAAGATTACAGAGGATTCAGACAAAGATCCAGAGCGATCAATGCATGTTATAATCTTATTGTTCCCCCTTTATATTAGGTGTCTTTAACTACTGTGTACTTCTTTAAAAAAAATAAATAAATTGCAGAGCTGTGTCACGATCGGACACAAAGATTGAGGATCCAAATGCAGTTTTAAAGGGGTCATATGATGCGATTTCAATTTTTCCTTTCTCTTTGGAGTGTTACAAGCTCTTGGTGCATAAAGAAGATCTGTAAAGTTGCAAAGACTAAAGTCTCAAATCCAAAGAGATATTCTTTATAAAAGTTAAGAGTTAACCACGCCTACCTAAAACGGCTCGTTCTAACACGCCCCCACATGTCTACGTCACGATGTGGGAAGATTTGTATAACGCCGCCCAAATGTTCACGCAAAGAAAGAAGGCGTAACTTTTATTCTCACTGTAGTATTGTTGCTGCCGCCATGTCGTGAAGGCGCTGTGTGTTTCGTTGTGAAAGCGAAACTACTTTGTTTGGCCTTCCAAAAGAGGACGATATCCGCTTCATCATGCCTAGAGCTGATCCGTGCTGGTCACTGAGGAAATACATCAACTTCGCGCTGTGGATCGCGGGATCGGCTTTCACCGTGGACGAAGCAGAGTCCAGCCCGGGGTCGTCACATGTGGTTGCCGCAAACACATATTTATACCGATTTCATCAGACTCTGAAAATTCTTCAAAAAGAACACAAAGAATGGCCTTCTCAGCTGCCATAGTTGCAACTCTTGCGTCATCAGAACAGGGTGTTCAACACACCACCGTTTCCGTTTAAAAAACGTTTTGCACCATTTTGTCGGGGCTGAACGCAGCCCTGGTTGTAGACAAAATCACAGAGAAGTGGCAAGAGTGCAGATGCAAGATTATAGCATTATGACATCATAGTATGCTAACATACAATTTCAATTTCAAGCCTCAAAAACTATTTCCACGTGTTACACTAAATGAATATTTATTTTACAGTCCTCTCCAGGTACTAAACCTGAACACAATCCTAAGTAGTTACCTTTTATTAACTACCTTGTTATATTTTATTAACTAGTTATATTAACTGCCTTATATTACTCAATACTTTATTGTTTAAGTACAATGTAGTGCATGCACTGTAAGTACAATGTAAGTTCATGTCAGGTAAATCTTTCCAATTCATTAACTTAGTCATTGGCATTTCATTAACCAGTTGTGTCGACTGGATAATCTATTGCAAGTTCATTGGATTCCATGTGTTCTAGAAACTTAATTATTTATGCTGTTTTATATTTAGAATTTAATCAACACTGAACTGATCTCAACTGAACAATGACACTGTTGTTTTTTTAGAGCTGCTTTACAGCAGAATTGATCTGTGTTTGCATCATTAAATCATTATTTTCCTGTTTATCCCTGTAAAGCTGCTTTGAAATGATCTGTATTGTATGAAGCACTATATAAATGAAGGTGACGACTTATGCACGTAAACTGGATTGAATTATTTTTGGACTATCAATAAATGCTGGAATTCCTATTCTATAAAAACACAATAGTGTCAAAATATTGACCTGTAAAGCTGATAATTAATCCTAAACTCTTCGCAATGTCCAGAAACTGGTTCCCTTGAAACATCCTAGACACTCCTTCCTTTGAGAGCTGCTCCCTAATTGGTTCCCCAGAGTATACTCCTCCATTAAGCCCACCCCCTTGTGCTATGATAGGCAGTGGCAGACCCTAAAGCCATCACATGACAGTATCTAGTAACTGAATGTCCCCTCAGATTACATGGATGAGAGGCTCAGATGAGAACATTATAAAGATTGACTGGAAGAGAAAGAGAGATAAAACTCCCAGTACAGGAATTGCGATTTTTACTAATATTCAAACAATATCTTGATTGTGCACCTGCACTTAAAATTGTTCTTAGTAGATCATATCTGTTTTAGAGTTGTTAATTAGAAGTCTGTTTACTTGAAACATAATATAATAGTAAGCTGTCATATAGCAACAAAGAATGGACAATTTGAACCAAGTTTTGAAAAATATATTTGGAAAAATAGAAGAAAGAACAGTATGTTTTAATATGATAAAAATATATCAAAAACTACATTATATTACAAAAATGGGATAGAAATGTGGTATAAAAGAGTCTAGTTAAAGATATAAAGAATAAACATTCAGTGGTTCTGAAGAATGCTTCAGTCACCAATATGACACATTTTTGAAAAATTACAACAAGATCTGTATGTACTGTATATACCAGAGAGAGAGAGAGAGAGAGAGAGAGAGAGAGAGAGATGACAAATGTAAATGAGACAAATGATCACATTTGACACTAAAAGTTCTCATAGAGTTGTCATATATATATATATATATATATATATATTAGTTGCTAAAAACATTTTTTTTTTTCTCAGCTGCACTAACCCTTAATTTGAACTCATACAAACAGTTCAATTTCTTCTGAGAACATCAGAATGAAGACTCATAAAAAACACTCAGTACCCTTAAAGTTATAGTTCTCCCAAAACATGAAAATTTTGCTGTTATTGTCAGGAGCCATGGATATTAATTTTCCTTGATATGGTTCTTTTATTCTCAAAAATGGGTAGCCATTGATTTGCATTTTATGAATCACCAAGGACCACAGTTTCAGCTAAAAACTTCTTTACTGTTCTACTGAAGAAAAAAAATAAGTCACCTACATTTCGGATGGCTTGAGGGTGAGTAAATTAAAAGCAAATTTAAATTTTTTGGGGCGAACTATCCCTTTAGTTATGCAAATTAACACAGTCAAATTTCCAGCTGAACCTAAATTTGTTCATTTGACATCCTGAGTGATATGTATTTCACGTGAGCAATCGTATACACTGTAATGAAATGCATTGTCAAGTAATCTAATATATACTTTATATTTAGATTAATTGTTTTTATTCAAGTCAAAGATATTATTTAATATAAGGTCCTATATATAATAACCTAAAGTAAAATAATAATTTTGCCTTCTCAAACTCCACTGGTGTGTTCTTTGTTTGCTTTCTCTTCTCCATCTTCCTGAATGTGTCGAGATCTCTGTGGTTTAATGATTACGCGATTAAACAGTGTGAGGCGTGGACTGTTTGGTCGGAGCTGCTTCAGGTCACTAGAAGGGGTGATGATGTCACGACCCTGAGGAGATGGAAAGGAGATTGATTCATTCATTGTACAATACATTTCCTGAAACTACATGACGTGTGTTTGAAAAATTATGGGTTGTTATAGATTGCAGTAAGGTTCCAGAAGTAAACTGATTTTGAATAATTACGTATTGTGAACAATTAACTGATTTTTAACAATTGTTTATAAATATTTTAAGATAAACCTACCATAAGCTCTTAGGTTGTTAATTTTTGCTTCTGTAGAATTCAACATGATTTCAGTGCATTTTTATAAAATCTTGTCCATTAGCCCAATTCATAATGAAGAACTACAATACCCACAATCCCAAAGAAAGAACCACCAATCAGAGAAGACTCTGTTACCATGGAAATGTAAACTCTAGCAAAACATTACAATTATGTGATTGAGTTGTTCTCCCTACTAAAAAGTACTTATATATTTGTACATATAATATACTGTATATGTAATGACTGTAGATCTATAAAAAACTATTTCATATTATTTTATTAGATTTTTTTGTTTGTTTGTTGCTAGTTCATTCAAAGATGTACACTGCCTTTACCTAAGATGTACACTGCCTTTACCTATATATATATATATATAGGTAAAGGCCAGCCTAAGGCACACCTGTGCAATAATCATGCTGTCTAATCAGCATCTTGATATGCCACACCTGTGAGGTGGATGGATTATCTCGGCAAAAGGGAAGTGCTCACTAACACAGATTTAGACAGATTTGTGAACAATATTTGAGAGAAATAGGCCTTTTGTGTACATAGAAAAAGTCTTAGATCTTTGAGTTCAGCTCATGAAAAATGGGGGCAAAAACAAAAGTGTTGCGTTTATAATTTTGTTCAGTATATATATATATATATATATTTATTTATTTTATTTTATTTATTTATTTATTTTTCTTCCAAATCATTGTTTTAAATATTGTGATTAAGTTGGTCGCTTTGGTTCGTTATTTAGAACTTTTTATTGAAAATATTTTTATAAATCACTCTTGAGAAATAAATGGGGTAAAATACTTCCAGAACCAAGACTGCTGAAAAAGTATGTGATCACTATTGAGTATTATAAAATCCTACTAGACAAATTATGGGTTTTCTTTTATTATACATTGTTTACACACAGAATTATGTGTTTAAGTGTAAAAAAAAAATCAGTATCAGTATTTAACAATGGAGGACAGATGCTGTGACAGATGGAATTAACTGAGATGGGATGAATGCATGACTAAATGATGAATGGATGGGTTGGATGGATTGATGGGTTTCACTCACCCTTCCTAGAGAGATGAATAAGAAGATTGGGATGCAGACCATAGGAATTACTGTGAGCAGAGGTGCCAAATTGTAACTCCAGTCCGGCACAAATTCATCAGCTGAAGATACTGATTTACTACCCAGCAGGTTATAGAGCAGAGTAGCCTGAGGGGGAAATAAGAGAGCATATTCCTGTACTTCCAAAATGTATACTGAATTTGATGAAAAACTTAATTCACAATTGTTGATGAAATATGTTCAAAATGAAGATGCATAAACTTCACAAAAATGCATACAATATCATGAACATACTACATCCACCATGTTGATGTACTTTAAAGACCTTGAAGAGCCTGAGCTGTGCAACACTGGCCTCACAGTGATCACTGACTCATTGTATTCTAATCATTGTAAATTACATATGGATAAAATTGTCTGCTAAATGAGTAATTCTAAATTAATATCTATTTTAAGTAGCTATAGTTTGCCACTTGTTGTTTTTAAGTGTGCAATATATATATATATATATATATATATATAAAACAAAAGAGACACCCTACCCAGATTAATGAATGGTTTGAAAGAATGGATGCATAGCTGGATGGCCAATGAAACATTAAATATTAATTGGTGTACTAATGAGAAAATATTGCAAATTTTCCAACGATAAGCAAAAACAGTTAGAGAAGAGTGAGAAAGTGCTAGAGACAAAATGTGAACTCACTGCACAGATGAGAGGGGTAATGAAGAGCCAGCAGTACTTCAGCACAGGGAATGGTGCGTATCCTATCATATCCTCAATGTTGTCATAGAAACGGTTTGCACCTGCAAACCAGCCATTTGCGTGACATTTTTTTCTTGTTTACCTTTCTCCCATTTTGAAAATGTATGTCTTATTGCAGTTTTTATACACAGTTGGCTATTAGTTTTTTGAGTAGCAAACCTTAAACTCCATGGGGAGTTTTATTAGACAAAGTATAGGGCTAAAAGTTGAACTCACTCATATGTCTATGTTCAATAATCACCTATAATTGTGTCACATTTTATGAGCGGTCATATTATAATGTAATTGCATAGCAATAATTATATAATACATGGTAATTACATAGTAATTATTTGATGTAAGTTTAGAAAAGTTGTTTTATTAAAAAAAATATTATACAGTGTAAAGAATGTTTTGTCAGATAAATTAACTACTTTTATTTGATGGGTAGGATGGAGTGAAATGAGTCACTGTAAAGCAGTATTCACAATCCATTTTTACTTCCATAATGTGTCAAAGAGAAACAAGATATTCAATAAAAAAAAAGGTTTGCATGCTTTACAGTGTATTGTATGTCAAATACTGGGAATTTCACAGGAACAGGTTAGTGTCTCTTACCATACACCCATGCGACAACAATTGTCTCAAAGCAGGCGATAAAGAGCAAGTTAGTTCCACTTGGGCCGTAGGTGTCCATCACAGTAAACAGATGGAATCCTCCCTAAAATATGGCATGCAGTAAAAGTTAGAAGATATCTAATCTCTAATATCTATCTATTTTCTTTTTTCTCTATACCTTTGTGATGAATGGCAGACCCAGTAAGAAGCAGATGACGGCGATTAGCAACACCAACAGCTCTCGCCGCTTCCTTAGAACTCCAGGAAATAGGTCAGTGAGAGCTGTGGCTAAACTCTCCACACACACAAACTTCAAAAGACATAAATATAAACCCTCATACATGTAGTGAAACCTAAAGACTCAAAAAATATCATAACATATCATGTGAGGTTGAACAACCGTACCTGGCTGTCAAGGCCCAGAAGGAGTACCATAAAAAAGAAAAGAACAGACCAGAACTGGGGTCCAGGTAACAGAGAGAGGGCTCTAGGGTATGCTATGAAAGCTAATCCAGGACCTGCAATAAAATAAAATAAAATAAATAAATCATCATTGTTGCATAACCTTGATTATTAATGCATGCGTCTTAATAATAGAATAATATATTTTTCATTAAATGTATTTATTTTATTTATTTATTTAAGTATATGAAATATTTTGTGCATACATTACATTTTACATTTTTTATTTATAAATGATTTTGTGTCCAAAGTAACATTCAGACATACTGTACACAGGCCACAAGTGTTGGCCTGAGATGCTCTCTTGTGGTGGATAGCAACATAGCAAGAGATTATGATTATTGGATTGCCAATTCATTGGGAAAGTGTTCAGTGAGGTTCAGATCTGTGCTTTGTGCAGATCTTTCCCACTAGAATCTTGTGTGTGTGTGTGTGTGCAAAAATGTGCATAGAGGCATAAAAGTCACTGGGCTCTTTGATACACCTCATTGCACTGTAAATATATGTGTAAAGAGGTTAAAAACAGCATCTGTAACCCATTCATTAGAAGGCAATGTCCACACATATTTTTTGGCATGTATAATGTAGACCCATATACGAAGCCCCTTAAAGGGAAATGATAATGGTAGAAAATGAGATGGGAGTTAAAATGCGGATGTTTTATGAGTGGACACAAAGTTTTGTTGAGGGAACGTAATACTTTTGCAAGAAAAAAAAACTAATGTTTTGTGAGAGAACGCAAAGTTTCTTGGGGGAACACAGTACTTTTTCAAGCAAACGCAAAAGCTCTGAAATATAATTTTTCCTCCCATCTCATATATTATTGTTCCATCACCACGTCCTCTTAGGGGCTCCATTCCCATAAATAATGTAGTGTACTATATTATATCTAGACAGCTTATATAGTCTCATCATAACAATATTTACCTGATGATGCTAAGTCTTCCATGGGTAAACCTAACTGATGGGCCATGAATCCCAGAATAGAAAAGACCACAAATCCAGCAAAGATGCTGGTGGAGCTGTTCAGAATACAGAGTGCTATACAGTCCCTGTGGAACACAGAATATAGAAATAACAATCAATTATGAAATGCTGATTACTGTGATATGTTTCAATGGGTGGGGTGCAGCACATTAATGCAGGAGGTTACTGACTTGTAGCAATCATTGTTGTATTTGTTATAACTGCTCAGTGCTGTTAGGACTCCTTGACACACTGCGTAAGAAAAAAACACCTGAGTGCCTGCATCACGCCACACCTGCAGAAAATGAGATAAAGATGCAAAATGCAATTTATTTTTAATTTTGGGTGAATTTGACCTGGACATTTCTTTATGAGATTCACAAATGTACTGTAGACATCCAGTTTTGTTTGTGCCAGATTGAGCAATGCACTCCTCGAATGGGCCTCTAGTCTGCACATCTGGTTACTATAAGCAGGGTTAGAGGGCTGACATCCTCCAATTCAGCATCGCAATGCTAGTGTTTATTCACTTTTCCAAGGCTGTATATGCATGATACCCTATCCGCCTATATATTTATACACACTTCTTGTGTGAGTACATGGTCTCTGAGAAGGCAAGGGAAAGTAAGAAAGAAAATAATCAACAGAACAAAAATAAAACAAAACAAATGCTGCTAAATAATATACATTTTTATATCTTTATACTGTCCTACAGTGGCACCAATAGATGCAGTTTCACAGGAAGGCATCATCTATAATGCCTCCCTTAAGCTCATTGTGTTCTCACTGAGGTCCCAAACAGGGGTGAAATTGTGATTTCGGAGGTAGAATAAAGCTAAATCTGGCCATGATTCTGGTGTATACCGATTTTCTTCCAAAAAAAACAAACAAACAAAAAATGCCTTGAAGAGGGGCGTGGCCCCCCTTTCTATAAAAACCACTTGAACTTTCTGAGTGAGTACTGTTGGTAAACAGATATAAAATGTGTGTAATGTCAAACATAAACTAGACTATATATACAAAGGAACAAACAACTAAGGGCAGGTGAGCATAATCAATTAACCAATGAGTAACCTAGGAAAGTAACCATTGGCGAGAAAATGAGGACAAAGGAAACTAGAACGACCAATCATAGGGCTCTCCCCTCAGTAGAAATTGCTGTCCGGGGCCAACTAGATTGGACCGAAAGGGCACTTTAGCATCTGCTATTAAAGGGACAGGGGCTTGACAGTGTAAATATACAATTATTTAATTAATACAATTATACAAGTAATAGTAATTTACAATATGTACTCACTACAGGGTTAGGGTTTGGTTTAGGGTTAGTTAAGAAATTAATGAATTACGTAAATATGAAATTATGCATACTATACATTTCTATTCAATCCATCCATTCTCCATTCGCCAAACCGCTTATCCTGTAGGGTCACAGGGATGAAGCCTATCTCACATTCTCAGGCCACAGGCAGAGGACACCCTGGACTGATGGCCAGTCAATTCTATCCTAAAATTAATTCTAATGCCCAAAGCTACAAAAAAAATCTAATAGTATAAACATGAATTCCTATTAGTTTTAAAAACAACAAACACAGAGTAGGGGCAAGTAGAGGCTCCTGACTGTAAATTTAGATGCATGAGGCAGATACTGGGTCGTAGTGCTAGTTTATAATAAACTCAAGAAAGCTTATAGTCTTTATAGTCTAACACATGCACTCACACTTTTGGCAGAGAGCTAATGTCCTTGCGTTATTCAGCCTGTGGGCGGCATGCTATTGTTGATTGACAGGCTTGAAGTACACAGACACAGAATGCTATAGAATTATTGCCTTAATATTGTTGTCTCTGAATGTTGATTTAGAAAGTGAGGAAACGAATATCATGCCTCATTTTAAAATAAAACAAACACAACAGCTTTTTATGCAAGCACATTTAAACTAAAGGATTAACACTTTCATTAATTTAAAACACTACTCCATATAGGAAAAACAGACATGCCAGCTACTTACTGACCTGATGCAGACAGATATAGCTAAAGCTGACTGATATCGTCTTGGTCTGGAGCGAGATAAGGTAACATAAAATAAGTGGGGCAGTCTCGAAACTGCCCAGATGGCTCTCAATTAGTATGTTGCAGTTCCACTTTTCACCACAGATTTACATTGTAAAATTTGTAAAACACTTAGTATAATTTTACGTGCCTGCCAAAGCTTGCGAATCCAATAAATATTTGTTGCCGAATGCTGAACACAATTACAGTTTATTATTTATTCAGTTTATATAGAGGTCTGTGTTTTGGGTGAATATGTTGGTGGGGCTCTGCCCCACCTGCCCTTACAGATGAGCCGTGCCTTGTAGGGGCTCTGCTTCTTCATTTCCGAAGTCTACCATGCAAAACTGATGTTAATTGCAGGCGGGGGATACTGAATGGAGGACACTCTAAAACAACCCTGTGATTCTTATTTAACACACAATTCCAAGATCTCTTCTATGCTGCCTCCCTGCCTCACTTTTCCAGCTGCCAAATATAATTCCAACAAACTTATTTTTTTACACCTCCCTACTGTATATCCAGAACAAACCCCACAAGACAAATGCGGCTCCCCTCCAAAAACCAAAAGCACCTCCCACGCAATACATTGCCTTTTTGCCTCATTTTCTCTCCAATCTTTATTTTGTTTTGCAATGAAAGCAAAGAAAAACCCTCTCTAAGAAAATAATGTTCTCACTTGCATTGTGAAACTCCTCTCACAAAAAACAAAGAAATTCTATAGAAACTCTTTCTGAAAACAAAAAACTGTTTTCCCCTCTATTTCTATGTACAGACCCAGTAATAGCAGTTATGCCTGAGGCTCAGAGAAACAAACCTCCCTGTCTGGAACCATTACAAAGTCATCATAGTCAATGAGTTCTTAAGACCATTAATAGGTCATTTTCATGGAAAGAGAATGCTCCTTTATGGATATCCAATCCAGCCAGACCACCCGCATGACCCAGATTTACACATTTTGACTTTTCTACACATGCTACATGAATAAAACAGAATATTTACTGCCTTAAGAGTCATCACAGTAATGTACTATTCCATGAACTAGATAGACATAACATGAAAAGCACATGACAAATCCAACTATACAATTTTACTTTATTATTATTACAGTTTTTCTCAATTGCTTTGGCTCAATTCTCGAATGAAACTTTTTTTTCCCGAAACAATAAGTTCAGATCTCTGAACAATTAGCTTCTTGTTCACATCAGATTGGAATTTCTTATTGATTTGAGCAAATTGCAAATGCTTTGGCACATGTGTGCAAACAGTAAGTACAATTGTCTGCAGTTTGCACAACAACTAATTGCATAAGGCTTGTTGATCAAAACTGATGAGCCGATTCTCACTTAAACTGTCAAACTCTTCACAACTTCTCGATCATTTTTCATCGTGTAAGCCATCACATTCAAAACGATCCATTCAATTATGAAAAATTGGTATACACGCATGTATATTCCATAAATATCTGACATTGACATTGTTTGTAATGTCTGCTAAATTGGCAAATGACCTCTAATTGCAATACAATTTGAATCAACCATTCAACCATTTAACGAAAAATGTGCCAAAGCAATTGAGAAAAACTGTATTATTATTATTATATTTTTTTTTGTGGCAATTTTACTTAAAATTGTAATTCAAATGTACTTCAAACTTCAAAATGTGATCCGCATCTGAAACATCTTTCCGCATCTTTCGTTTTTTTCCAATTTATTTTTGAATCCCAATTCCCATCCAACCACCTGCTTTTTAGAGATCAGGCAATCGGGCAAGTTTTGGTATACATTTCCACGCCAAAAAAATGTGTCTTGAAACCATGAACCACTTTGTCACACTGTAATTTGTTAAGAGTACGCATGGATCTACACCGGATCGACAAGAAATAGTAGTTCATCCAGGTATCTTTGGGATGGTCATTTCAGCTTACTATATTTGGGACTAATTCTAACATCAGATATTATTAAAGGAACACTCCACTATTTTTGAAAATAGGCTCATTTTCCAACTCCCCTAGAGTTAAACAGTTGAGTTTTACGTTTTCGAATCCATTCAGCCAATCTCCGGGTCTGGCGGTAGCACTTTTAGCTGCAGCTTAGCATAGATCATT